GTCAATTTTAAGTTAATATGGTTGATTTCCCTATTAAAAGATATAACAAGTAGAGATGATTTAGAGAACTATTCGCCTTAAAGTGAATTTCTCCTAGGCGAGCTTCCCGAGACAGCCGCGCGACGAGATGAGCCTCTCCCGCCGGTGTTCCTCCGGCGACCTTGCAGCACACTCCTCGTATCCGGTGTTGCTCTTGTCGTCCTTTACCGGTGAGACTCGGCTCCACTCACCGACTGCGGTTATTGACTCAGTTCAGATGCTTGTTTCCCCGCCTCCACCCTCCGCAGCAACAAACCATACGAAGCTGCTCAATTTCCTAGCTTGGCGGTGGAAGATCCTGGCGACAGTGCTGAGATCTCTTCACCCACCGGACCCTCCGGACCCCCTCGGTCCCCCCGGACTCAAGCTTCCCATCTCCTCCACCGTCCTCCATCTCAGTCGGTCGGAGCTTCCCGGTTGCTACTCCGATGGTTCTCGAGCCTCCATCGGGAAGGTCGTCTCTGGCCAGCTTTGGCTTCTTTGGCTTCACCGGCAAAGCAATACCGCTCGACAACCAATCCACACTCCACCACCGTCGGTTTATGCCGAAGATCTCTCTATACCTGAACGGCACCAGATCAGAAAATTTGGATAGCTATCGACGGTTAGTACCACCATCCCCTAGCTACGTTTTCCTTCGATCCCGAGCTCAAGACTCTGCGTCTCAGTGCTATGGCCAAAGGCTGAAGAGTCCATCTTCTAATCCCTCGCTGCGAGCCCGACTCACTTTATCGGGACCATCCAATCTTCGCCTTCCCCTCGCCGGCCATGATCCCCGCTCCAACAAAGGTGGTGACAAGGCTCTGATTCCCAATTTCCCGTCATCGTTCCTGAAGGTGGCTTGGGTCGAACACTCACTGTCGGCCATACTCCGATAATCCGACTTCCATCGCGTTAATAACAATAACAAAGTTTGGGTTTGGGCTGTTCAATCGAGTGGGCTTTTAAGCCCAAGAAAATTCCTTTCCCTTGGCCCATACAAAAATGAGCATGTATTGGGCTTGATCCATCAGATGTATACGATCCTGAAAATCAAAACAGTTTTCACAATATTTTTTGATTTCGAAATTTTCTCTTTTGAGAGTAATTTAAAGTTTTCTGGATTCTCAAATCCTGGAGTTTTTATCAATTTTACCTCTTCTTTTGAGAGAAGATCAAAGTTTTCTGGATTCTCAAATCCTGTAATTTACTCCCGGTGGAAGAGTTCAATTCCACCTTCTTCCATCTCTTTGAGACTAGTCGTATCTTCTTCCCTCTCCTGGAGAGGGTCGAATCCCCGAGCATTATGCCGGGATTTTCAAAGTCACATTGGAAAGTGACTACCCTGAGACTCTCCGGCCTTGCCGCGAAGACACTCTTGACGCATCCGAGTCACGACTTGGATTCGCTATCTATTTTCTACGATGATCTATGTACTTTATGTTTATCGTATTTCAATTATGTTGTATTAATGTTAGGAAGATGTTTCATTTTCTCTTTTTGTACTTTGATCGTTTAAATGAATGAAAAAGCTTGTTGACCAAAAAAAATAAATAAATAAAAAGTAGAGATGATTTAGTAATAGTGCATCAAGAGAAATGTATGAAGTGATAATTGGAAAAAGAGGAAAACAGTTAGAGGTGGTGACCGTGAGAAGATGACAAGGCATATCTATGCACCAATCAGATCTTCTTGTATCTGCCACGTCACTCCAAATCTTCATGTATCTGCCACGTAAGCCTAAACTGTGCCAGCTTCTCCTTGATGTTAGATTGAAAATCAAATTCTAGATTGATTTGTTTGGTTACCGACGATTTAATTCTCTCTTCCTCAAGACGAAACGTGGACATATATGGTTACAACTTTAGAAAATGTGAATTGCATAATGATTACATGTGTATATACAAATGTTATGTTTGCAATCTTAAACTATTGTGATTGTCGACCAAAAAAAAAAATATTAACTTACGAGGATATCTTTGGTGCAAAATGTGGTAACTGGTAACCCAAACTAGAGATTCCAAATAGTTTTAGATACGATTTTCACTCGAATTTATTGTTATCTTGTTTTTTTGTTAGTGGATTTTAAATTTATTTAGATGATGCGGGATCTCTATTCTCTACTAGTATTTAGTATTTTTAATATCGTACGTTTGTATCCACGACTTTTTTTTTTTTGGTCAAAAGAAACACTTGTATTGAGATTAAACCGAATGTAAATCGGAAGGTGCTGATACAGAAATTAATGCCGATTTGGCTAGCCTCGAAATTTAGATCTCTTTTGACAAAACCAAAAGAGAGAACTTGTATATCTAGGGATAGAGATTCGATATTTTGGAGAACTCCATAGATTTTGATGTTCCGTTTCTTTGTGGTTATCAGATTGATGAGGATTTGGGAATCTGAAAACACATGGAAGCGGTTTAGCTTTTGATTTGCCGCATGCAGGAGGGATTCTCGGACTGCAATTGCTTCAGCCATCAGTGGCGATTTGATGGGGGTACAAGGCTTTTGTTCCTTGTAATATGATGCGGTTTGTGTTGTTCTTGATGATCCAACCAAGGCACGCGGATTCTGACTCTTTTCTCCAGACTGCATCAGAATGCCAGGCGATTCAAGTCTCCCGTCTGGGGGGACAGAGATGATCCACGACGTTACATGTCTGTAAAATTAGTTCGGTTCGTCCAAATCACCAACAAAAATAAAATGGTCATATTTTTGTAATTGGTGAAAAATATGGTAATTACCACCAAAGTAGTTACAAGTTAATGTTTTACAAGTAATCTCTTCGAGGAGTTGGTAGCAATATAATTTTCAGAATTATTGTATACATCTCTTATTTATATATATACATCCAAAATACACGTGCACACGCATATGAAGCTTAAGAAGCCTTTATCATGAGAATACAAATGCACTTGCATGTGAATTAATTATCTACCACTCCTCTTCCAACGAATTCACGTCTTTACATTTATTTCATTTCAGCATATAACATTAATATTATCTTTCTTTAACTCTTTTTTGTTTTTGAGCTTTTCCCTATTTTATTTTATTCTTGTAGTGTATGCTTGTTTTAGGACCACTGGTGAAGTGATCTTGGATCTAAACATAATATTGGTATCCTGCAGTATGGTTTAAAACTTTAAATTTTCTATATAAATTTGTGAATAGTAAACGAGGAAGTCATTAGCTAATAAATAGTTGAAAATATATATAGTCAATATTTAGTACTAACATTCATCGCAAATAGTCAAATTAAATCAAATTAAATCATTGACTAAGTATATCGTTAATGACATGTCAAACATTTTTAAAAAGGCAAAAATCTCACTTCACGAATTCGAAAATATTTTGGAAAGATTTAATTCCTACGTAAATTTCATTTCAAAAATTCGAAACTATTTTGGAAAGATTTAATTCCGACGTAATTAAAGACATACACACATAGATTTTTTTCCGTATAACAGTAAAACAAACAAAAGATACTATATCGCTTTTTTCTAGAGAAATTTCAAAAAATGCCACACTTTTGAAATCTTTACAAAAATGCCACTTTTTCAAAATTATTTTTTCTTTATATTATTTATGTTTGGGTTAATTATGTTCTGTTAGGGTTTAATTTTGAGTGTTTAGAGGGTTTTAGGTGTCAAAACATTTTTTAGGG